CAACGTACTATGTACGTACGTATATAAATAATCGATTATATGTACATACATACTTACATACCATACACGTATACGGTATGCGCGAATGACTGAGTACGAAAAGACGTAAATATATACATATACATGTACATAAATACTATAGTATATGAGGGTAAATATCAACACATTTTCTTATAAATAAATATATGTATGTACAAGCGTTTTTTTGTTTTTGTTTGTCACACATGCATATCCTGTCACATCTGCACTCATTTCAACGCCAAAGGCAATAGAAATCGACAATTAAATGCTGCTAGTATTTTTATTCACATCCATTCATTCATACATGCATATATATATATATATGTATCTATGCACATATGTACATGAAATGTTTGGCTTTTGTTATGATAGTACCTATAGTACTATAGTAAGAAAGAGATGTTCTTAAATATCATAACTTTACGACACTCACATATTGACTAGATTTCACTATTTATTTTATTATATTTTAATTTGAATTATTTGTTTATACAAATATAGTTTATTCCTTAACAAACACTAAATGAAAATAAGTTTAATCTTTGAACAGCATTAAAAAAAAATCGACAAACTTTCGTAAAAATTTCGAACTTTCTATTTCAATTTTATCTCTTAATATTTTGCAGCTTTTTAGCTCATTAAATTAAGCAAAATGGCCTAGTGTAGTTCGCAAATATTCAAATAGATAACCCACCAACCGATAATTTTATATATTCATTAAAAGATAATTTGTCATCAGTCGGAAATAAAAAAATTATAAATCGGAAGGGTAAAATAGTATTGTGTTGTTAATTCAAAAATAAGTGTTGTTAATTCAAAAATAAAAAGTTTCATTTCACTGACGAAGGGGGGAGATCTATCCCCCCAATCGCCTCCCCCCCCTGGCTACACAACTGATACAAAGTACCCCTTTTAATTTCATTTAACCTCTATTAAGGTTATTTTTGCGCATCAGTGCTATTTATACTCTTCCTCGTAAACTTCGTACATTTCTGCCCACGAATACGAGCGTTGAAAGGTTTTTCTCTTCGTTGCTTCGAATAAAAACTTGATTCAGAACAACAATGCTCCAGGAAAGATTGAACGGGTTGGCCTTCACCAATAAAAATTACGACATTCAAGTAAAATCAGATGAAGTGATGAAAAGGTCTCTCAATATGGGTAAACACCGCGTCAGTTTCAGAGTCTAAAATTAATGTTTGTTTACCAACATAATATAAAATAAATAAATAAATAAATAAAAAATATTATTTATATGCATCAAAAATAAAGTTTTAAGTAAACATTCAAAATAATCATTAAATAAGGTCCATCATTATGAAAACGCCGCCCCTTAAAATTTCACTGCAGCTACGCCACTGATGGGGGTACACTTTATGACCGATACTGTGTGGTGCAAGAAGAAGAATGATGGTGTGATTTAATTAAATAAAACTCAACCGGATTCGTAATTTATGTATGTATCTCGACATGCCTGAAATTCAAATAAAAACAACGTTTCGTTTTTTTTTTTTACTTATTTATGTTTAATAAAAATATTTTCAATATATATTTATATGTATATATAAAAATATATATGCTTGTAAAATATGCTTAAGGTACAAACTACATAATAGCAATAATACAGTAATAATTAAGTATTATAATAATAAAAAGTAATCAATTTAGAATTTCAACAATTGTGCCACACATATTCTCTTCGCTTTTCTGCTATTTTCTTAACTATTTTGCGCCAAATTCGCAGAAGCTTTTAGTTTATTAATAATTATTATATATATTTTTTTTTTACGCGCCGTTTGTTAAACATTCCAGCTGTTGCTGGGGTTTTTACTAAAACTATTTAAAAATTACTACATTTCAACAGTTAGCGCGTACACCAAATTGCCGAATACATACATACATACATATAAGTTAGTACAAGTACATAAGAAACAATATCAGCTGATAGCAGTGCAGCGTACGCGCCCTAATTTCAATTACAAAAAGTTGAAACAGTTTGAGAATGATGTTGAAAAAAGTTAGTTTATATAAAAAAAAAAAAATTTATTTACGTAATAAATTATTTTTGCTTATTATTATTATTATAAATACAAAAAAGACATAAACAACGAACCGTTGTTCGTACATACTTTTGCATTTACGCATGTACTATATGTATGTTTGTATGTATTTATTAACAGTATAATTGTAACGTATGTAGGCATACATATCTGTACGTCTGTCACTATGTTTTAAATAATTAGCTGCAATACTAATATAAAGAGTTTGTTTATGAAATTACGTAGCAATATTTTATACTTTGTTGTGTGTAAAAGCACACAGCTAATTTTTAGCAATAAAATTTGCGCTAATTTACGGCAAGAATATTTCGATTTGTTATCTTTATTGCTATAATTAAGTTGAGTTGAATTTTTTTTTGTGAAAAAGCAATTTGTTCTGTATTGTCTTTTAAAACTAATTTTTACAACTTCACTGAATTATATGAGAAATAAAAAATTACACTTTTTTGAAGACTGTGATGTACTTTAAATTCAATAGTTTTCTAGATTTGTTTGATTTTAAAAAGGTGTTTAAGTTTTTTTGCAATACATAAATTTATGCGGAGAAATATTGAAATTAATTCTTCTGAAGGCTTCACTCGAGCTTTGCGATATAATATCTTGTGATTAAAAGTTAAATAAGTTAATGGAGCTCAATACTTGGCCACAAGCCTTTTACTATTTGGATCCTTTTTAATTGCCGAAATTGGTTTGTTTTCTGATCAACATGTGCCTTATAAGATTTTTTTTCGTAAAAAAATACTTTTTTTCTGGCATCACATGCTTTAAAACTTTGAACCACTAATTTAAGGATTTATGTTTACCTAAATACCTTCGTGCGTAAGTTCCGCTACATTTTCGTTTCATTAATTTTTAACATTGTTTTCAACAAAAAATATGCACAATTTACTTAAAAACTAAGATTTTTTTCATTAAAAATAAATTTATTGATCTCTAATTTTTCTTATGTTGATATAATAACGCCTAAGCTAATAGATATTTAAGGAATTTTTATTGCAATTAAATTTTTCAATTACGCTTATAGAACTCGCCAGATAGAGCTTTTATATAAAATGAGTAGAAAGCTTAAAAAGCTTTGCATGAGTGCAATATTTTGTTCGGAGCGCATTTCCAAAAACTGCTAAAATCAAAGCTTAAAGCTCACAAAACAGGTTTTTCTTTGAAACTAGTTGCTCGAACGAACCACAACTAAAAGTTTTGAAATTTATTTTTTTTCCATTTGCTGTGCTAGTTTTTCTCGAGCAACACACACAGATTTCATTATGGTATTGATTTTATGGGAAATCTAACTTCTTAAGCTTGCGGCATTCCAACCGCCTTCTATGGCTTAGTCCAGAGCTCACCCATTCACAGATACGTTTTGAAGCTTTCTATATCAGTACTGGGCAAAGAGAGCTCTTATTCACACAGGCATATATTAATTTTATAGAGAGCCTTTTAAAAACTTGGTTTATATGCACTCACGACCAAAAAAATTTGCTTTGGAAAACGTGTTTCAAAGCTCTCAAAGGAGTTCATGGACGCGCATAGGAAAAAGCTGCCTCTGATAGTCGTAGTAGTTTAAGGAAAAAGTATAGTTGCCCAATTGAAAGCTACTGTTACAGACATATGCGAATGTGCATATTTTATTAAAATTTTCTTTTTTTGCATTTAAAAAAATTGTTTCCAAAACTAAATATAAAATAAAAATTCTCATTTAAAATTTTCACTTAAATTTTTGTTCGAAAGCTTTTTTGTATTTTCTTCACAGATTTTTTAATATAATTTCTAAAAAAATAAATATGATTTAAATTTTAAAGCATGAAGTTTAAGTGTTTTTCACCGTCTATTTGAAAAAGCGAGAACTCGTTTTTTTAAAGCTTACTTTCCTAAAATAATTACAGTGCTTAAGTCAACGATGGGCAGATAGCGCTTTTACTCAGCAAGCGTCTATACAAATTATGTTGAAAGCTTAAGACAGCTCTTCATGCAGGCAAGGCTCCGCCCAACGCCGACCTTAAGCATACTTAGCTTTTGTAGAGCTTTTCAAAGCATATTAGAATAGGTGTTCAAAAGAAGCGATGCATTTATCAAGTTTGTTGTTTTTTGTTTTGCGCACAAAAGATTTTACCTATGCATGTAGTTATCATAAGAAAATTCTTTTAGTTTTGTTTTTGTTTAACAAATCCAATATTGTTCAAATTTTATTTATCAAAAATATATAGCAGTTGACCATAATAATAATAAACATTGAATGATTAAGTTTTACGTTTAAGTTTAAAATAATTAACTTAAGTAACACTACAACTTATGTAAGTTTACGAAGTTAGAAACAAATTAATTTTAAGTACTACTTTGAGTTGAGTAGGGAAAAGTAAAATGTACAAAAAGTAAAATTACAAAAAAAAAAAAATTACACGAAATTTGTTTTTAAATTATAAAAAAGATTCACACGGACTTATGACTGTACCTGCTCGCATTTCTCAAGTATTTTCCGCAACCGCAATTGCAGGATTTGGAAATAATTTTTTTTTTACAAGTGAGCTTTCTTAATTAACGAGTGTCCGTTTAGAGCTTTTTAAGTCAAAATTTAATTCTAGTTAATGTCTAACTGTTCAAAAAATATATCATACACATTTCAAAAGGCGATTTCAAAGCACTGGAATATTTGCATTGTAAAATCCAGTGGCGACCAAAGAGAGCTTTTAATTTCTGAGAGACCATGTAAACATATAGATAGCTTTTAGAAGGCTATGCCGCGAGATAAAAGACTCATTAAAACCATTAAAAACTTCTGCCTTCTTCGGGTTATTTTTTTTTGTCATGTTTGATATAAGACCCATTAAAAGCTTTAAAAAGCTTCACCAGCGGAATATGGTGTGGTCCTGAATGAAAATTTTGAATTTTATGAAAAGCATAAAAAGTCAAATCTCTATACGCATATTTTTTTTTTGGTCGTCACTGGCATAAACAAATACATGCAAGTACCATGTTAAGCTCTTGCGGCAAGTTGTGTGTGGTGTGAAAGCTTTTTGGGGCGCGGGCGCAACGGTAGTAGCTTAAAAGTTACACGCTTTTCGTTTACATACATCAAATTATTTTGCATTTATTTTTAAGTAAATAGTTCACAGTTTATATTAGCATCTTTTGATGCTGATTTATTGATTTTCACTTAATTAAATTTTTTCGTATTGCTTAAATAACACATTATAAAACATTTTACTTGGAAGAGGGGTGGCTGCGCAATGATGACTATCCACTGATCGAGAAAAGGAATAAAACTTTGCTGCTTACGCATTGTACCTAGTTGACGGCGAAGAAAGACCTGTTAAGAGTCTTTCGCCGATGAAGTTTTTTTTATATGCGTCTTTTTGCGCTGTCAACTTTCGAGCTCGCGCCTTTAGTCGTGTCTAGTGACGATAAGCTTGAGAACGTAAACACTTTCAGAAGACACTTTCATTAAAGAGCGAGCCGATTTTCAAACCATTTTCAAACAGTATTTTTTAATATTTTTTTCTAAATAGTTTTGTACAAAAACACACATATTTACTGTACTTGTTATCAGAAGAATCTCAATTAAGCGTGTGAGTACTTAAATTAAAAGTTTTATTTACTAAAAAATTAAACAAAGTTAAAATTTCACATATAATTACTAAATATTCAACTAAAGTACATTAACAAATTTTTTTGTATGAGTGTGTATGTGTGCGTCATAATTTTGCTTTACTTTTTTTGCAGCAATCACCACGTTTTTGCATATTTAACATTGCTTCTCTTCACTTGGTTGCAAAAGATTTAATCTATTCAGTAATATATTTTATTTGTTGTATAAGTGTTTAAACCGCGCGCATATACAAACATATTTCTTAAACACACACAAAAAAAATTAGCTTGAAAAAAATTATTGTTTAACTGCTCATAAGAGTATTTTGTATTTGTATTTGTTGTTTCATTTGAAACATTTTAAATTCCTTATCTATTTACGTAACATAATTAATATTGTGTCCATTGTTTTGTGCATTGCTGTAGTTGCTGTTGTTGTTGTTGTTGTTGTTGGTTTTACGTCATAGTTATAATAAAAAGAAAACAGCTTACACTTCAATTTACCAAACTAATACAACTTCACTATGTGTTGTTTGTTGGGCTTTTGGCCTCCTTCTCCAGTTGTATTCTCTCTTTTAGCTGCCACTGGTGCTTTTATTTTTTTTTTGCTAATTGCTACTTTATTGCTTTGTTCATGAGTTACATCTTTTTATATATATGTATATGGTCCTTCCGCTCAATGATTGGGCAACTCCGTTAATGTTATGTCATACAAATCGTCTTCGATCTGCTGCACTTCCAGCAGAAATATGTCCTCATTGCAATAGTACGAAATCATATCGTCATCAATTTTCGCAGTAATCCTGTGCGGAGAAATAGAAGAAAAGAGAGAAAGATAGTTGTGAGTAAAATTATTTGTAAAGTACATAAAACATTGCTTAAAGGGTGTGTTCGAATTTTTGTGGGTAGAAAAAATGTTGGGATTTTCGTGATGGCAAAAATTTTCAACGAATCGTGAATTTTTCAAGGTATAAATGTTGCATTGAGAAATTTTATTAGTTTGTGTTGAGCTTTCCGAAAATAGAAAAGTTTTGCACTAATGGCGATCGGTGGCTAAAAATTGTGGACTCAATTTTGGCCTTTGGGTGAAAAAAACTCAATTTATTTGGTTATTCAAAATTATCGATTAAACAGGTTTACAAAAAAAAGTTTCGGCATATTGAACCAAACCCCTATATCCCTATGTTATTCAACGCGCTGAATGTGAGCTCTGTTTGCCCCTATCATGTCAGATTCGAAGTCATTTGAAGGTGAAGTAGTGAAAAAATTATTGAATAAACCTGAAAATTAATATATATGGGGGTTTCGACTCGCTGAACCTGAAACTATAATGTTAGGAAAGAAAAAGAGTTTTTTTTTTGTTGTCGCTTAAACCGAATATAGTTGATTCTTCATGATCATCTTCATGGCGTGCCAAGGTCATCCCAAGGTCAAATTCAGAAGAATTTTATTGAATTTTCAGGTTTATTCAATGATTTGTTCTCTACTTAACCTTCAAATGATCTCGAACCTGACATGATGGAGGCTAACAGACCTCGGACTTGCATTCAGGGCGCCGAAATATAGAGGCTTGCTTCAATATGCAGACAATTTTTTTGTAGACTTGAGCTAATTATCGATAACTTTATCGATTATTTATCGATAAATTTATCGGTATTAACATCGAATTATTTATAAATATAGATTTCAACAACTTATCTATTAATTTATCGACACACCTGTTTAACGTATCGCTAAAATTTTGTAGTATTTGGACGAAATAAATGACAAATTTTAGATACAGTTATCGATTGCTTAGCGATAATTTTATCGATTTACTTATTGGCGGAATCATCGAGCTATTTATAAACATCGTTGTGGATCGTTCATCGATTAATTTATCGCTACAAATACATGCTTAACGATAAAGCATTCGAAATTTCGTAATCGGCTCGCGGCGTTGACCTAACTCAACCTAACCTGCACTTCTTTCAGATTTGAAATAGTTGCAGAAAACTAGATTTTTATAAGTTTTTATAAATTTTTGGATTTTAGACGTGGCGTCGCCTACTTATGACTACAAATGAGTATCTCGGTAGCCGATTTATCAATTTCTATCAAACTCAGTGCATTTAATTAATAATCTTGGCACGCAAAAGCAATTCGTTAAAAATTATTTAAATCGGACTAAAATTACACCCGCTTGCCGTATAACGGTATATTTCGCATATACGAAAATTCCGATATTTCAATAACTGAGAAGGCTAATTTATTCCAAGTTAATATTTACAGCAATCTCTTAACAATAAGTAAGACAGACCATTAGGTAGTTTAGAGGAAAATGAAACGACGATATTTGTTACCTGAGCCGGGTATATAAAATTCGATTTCGCTCGTATTTATGCTTCTTTATTTGTTCTGATTAAATTTAGTCGTTATTTTATGATTTTTATTTTTTCGGTCATATTAAACCGTTATTTTCAGATTTAATTTTTAGGATCGTAAAATATTTAAATGGGCCATAAAAGCGCAGTCTCCATTGTAACGTTAAAACTGTTCGAACAAAATAAAATTCTAAAATAACGATAATTTTCAGTGCCGTTAGCCGTTAAGTAACAAGATTTTTGTTTTTAGTTTATTGCACAATCGGTTTTCTTCGTTTTTTATTTTTTCGATCAATAATAATTGTTATTTGTGGATTTTTATTTTTTTCGATCAAATATAATTGTTATTTTGGATCCTAACCGTTATAAAGGAGACTGCATTTTTATGGCCGTTTTAAATCTTGTATGGCCGAAAAAATAAAAACTAAGACTAAGGATTAAAATTAGCCCGAAAAAAAAATCACGAATAAGGGCTGAAATCCAATTTTGACAGTTAAATTATGATTTTTAATATAGAGATCATAGCCGTTACGGTGCCTAAATATTTTTAATCGAAAAAATAAATCTTGATCTTGATAAAAATTGTGATATTTAACGGTTCTTTTCGGTTCCTCGTGGAAATTGGTTAAAAAAATAAATGTTTTAAGGTTTTGATTAGTTTACACAAAAGCTGGCTCCTTTTGGGTGCAAAAGTTATTAGTAGTGCTTTTCAATAAATATAAGGTTTAATTTTCATTCATTAATTAAATACAACCGCAAGCTATTATGTAGTTATAAATATATATAGGTATGCTAATACAAATTAAAAAATCGTTCAATGAAAAATGCAACTGAAAATCTTCAAATGAAATTTACACCACAAATGCAATTATTGTAAGATTAAATTTTATGGTAAATTAATTATGCAAATACTTTTTTATTATTAGATATTAAAATAAATAACTAACCGTTGTGTGCAAACTCATGCCAAGTATTTTATGATTATTAATTATTGTTATTATTATTTTTTTATTAAAAACAATTAAGTATGTAGTGAGGAGTCCACAAAAATGTTAGCGGTACACATTAGCACAATAAGTTATTGAACAACTAATTTAAGTAACTAGGTGAGTGCAGTGCTGTTAAATGAAATGCAAAGTTGAGTGTTCGTATTGGTGCTTGAATGTTTCTTCTGCCTTCTTCTTGCTCGATTTCTGCATCTCATTGCTTGCAACTGCCGTGCAACATTTAAAGCGGACTTAAATTTTTTTTAAATACACTACATAAATTTCTATTGAATCAGCTAATTTTATGTGATGCGTGCTTTGCGACGTAAATATGTTCATATGTAGGTAGGTTTGCATGTTTTGGTGGGTGGTTATGACTGTTGCTATTGTTTTCAAAGCTATTTATTTGCTGGCTTTTTTGTTTATTTTTTTATAATTTTTGTTGGTGTTTGTATGTTGTGTGTATTAATGTATGTTTACTTACCCTTTTTTATTTGTACGATAAATATTATTTATACTCGCTGTTGAGATTTTGTATTTACTTTCAATCTGTAATTGAGAAAATGAGAGAAAAATGATGTTTGTATTTTGTTTAATTTTTTTTGGGAAGTTTTTAATTTTTGCTTTATGTTTTGTTGTATGTAAAAACTGGTAAATAATTTTGTGATCATTTATTTTTTTTCTAAATTTTGTACAAATATATAATTTCTGTTCTAATTTGCTAAATATGAATAAGATTTTTCCTACTTGTGTGTGTTTTCAACGGACAAAAACTCATTTTACGTCAAGATGTAGGGTGAAAAATTTAAATTTTGTTCGCAATTTTACTTTTGATTGAAATTGAAAAAAAAAAAATGTAAATTTCATTTCATTTCCATATAAGTAAGCCATATTTTTATTTTCGTACGAATCGGCAAATTTGAAATTTTCCTAGTAAACACTTTTCTATGCAAAAATTTCAAGTTCTAAATTCACACGAAACAAGTAACCGACCTATTAGTTATTTTTTTGTTGCAATTCATTGATTATCAAAAAAAAAAACATTGTTTACTGTTTTATATCAAAACATAGCCAATTTAAACAAATTCATTGTTTTTTGAAGCATATTTTCAGATATTTATTCTTGCCGTTCGCGACTCTGAGTTATAGCAGCTTTTTAGGCAAAATTTTGTTTTTGATCGAATAGATTTGGGAAATGCCAATTTTCAATTTATGTTTCTGACGTTTGAAAATCATTGTGTTGTACATATGTATGTCGGTACATGAATGTGTAGTTTGGAGGCCAGATTGGGGTGTTGTGTGTATTTACATGTGTATGCATTTATGGCTGGGTAGTTATTCTTGCACCAGCAAATTGGTCTCAAGTCAATAAGGTTGCAAAGGGTATTGATTTCAAGTGAGTTCCGCAAGGGTTTTCCTCCTAACCTAGCCCATAAAAGTCCAAACATTGTTCGGTATTTACTGTTAGTTATTATTATTCATCCTAACTTGATTATCTTTCGTTCTTGCCGGGAAGTTGTCTGTGATCAATTCAGTATTATTAGTCTATGGAATATATTTAGAAGTTTTACTTGATGCTTTCTCATTAACTGTTCAATAATTTACAGCGAAAGTCTGTTATAGATATTTGAAGACTTTTGTAAGACAATTGAAAGACAGTAGATAAGATAGTTTGAAAGATTTTGTTAATTCTGGCACGAAAGTTTTACAAAAAAAAAAAGCTCTCCTTTGCCAACTTTTATGGTGAAAAGCTCTTTTGACAGAAACCACATGAGCATCTTCCAAAGGAAAATAATTACATAATTTTGCTAGCGCTACTCCTACATTCGCAATGGATAGTTGAACAAAGCACTGGCCTGTCATTCTTTTTTTTAAATTAAGTTTTTTTTTTTTAGTGATTACATTTTTTTTTCATTGTTTAAAGAGAAAAAAACATACTTCTCTAATATCATTTAATTATTATATGTGTTTTTTTCTTTTTCGAATTTAAGATTTTTTCTGATTTAATTTAATATTTTGTTTTAGTTTTTAGATTTTGTTTTAAATAGAAAAAAATATTTTTTTTAATAAAATATTTAGAAGCCTATAAACAGTATTATTTTTTTCTAAATTTTACATAAATACTCGTTTTACAATTAAATTTTTCGGTTATATTGGTTAAAAAGAAAAATATATTTTTTTAAATTTCTTTAAATTTTTCGGCCTTTTTAATTTTTTCTCCTTTTAGCAAATTTATCAAAATTCAAGAATGCAATGGAAAAATGTATATTTTTATTTAATTTAATTTTAAAAACGCTTGTTGTTAAAAACAAACAGATCAGCGCTAAGATGGTCCCGTTAACAGAGCTTTCAATTGTCTTTCGAAAGACGGTGGTGAGTTGAAAACGGTCGCCAGAATTTCCCTGCTATTGAAGCAACAGTTTTTTTAATTTCATGATGAATATACCTCTATGTTGTTGTGGCGCACAAATAAATATTTTATTTTAAAATTTCAGTCATAAAAGTCGGGCTAACCATTGGGAACGTTCATTTTATTCTCAAACTTTCAGAAACCAGGCTGCGCGAATACGAAATTTTTTAATTCATTTTATAAACATTTACAATTTTGTGTTTGCTTGTGTGTGTGTGCATGAATGGAATGTGTGAATGGGGCGGAGCGATGATGCATATTACTTACATAAAATTAAATGATTGATCGTAGCTGATTGCTGCGCTTGATTGCTAGATAAAGGCACAGAGTCAGACACACACACACACACACACACACATACACATACACGCTGAAACACACATACACATATACATATATACTACACATAAAAATGCATATACGCAAAATTTCATAAAAAAAAAAATTCATTTATTAACGATCTATCAACAAAGTAGTCGCTAGCGTTTTCACTGGAAATTTATAAATCATACGCTTTTCGTTTCAGCTTTACCTCTGTTGTTGTTGTTGTTGTTATTGTTATTGTTTACTGCATTGAATTTATTAATTAATATTTTACAGCCAAGTTATTTGCTCTGACAATTCATTAAACATACAAACATCGATCGTCATTCGCATAGATCGTTGGTCGTTGGTCGTTGGTCGTTGGGCGATTGGCGATTGGCGATTGCCGATACTTATTGTGATCCTTCAATACATGCGCCCATCAGCCATTTGCATATGGAATTCGCATAAAATTGCAATTTTTATTAACTAGATTAACATATCTGACAACCATCAAATATTCTTCAAACAGCTAACTGCATTACATTGTGTGTTTGTGTGTTTGCGTATAAACAAAATATTGCAAATATAAACACTGAACTTTATTGGGCGAGCAAGGAGATTATTGCTAGCTTAAATGTTGTTGTTTTTTTGTGTGTGTTTGTCGCTGGCTGCCTTATTACAGTTCATTATAATATACTACATAGTTGTTTGTTGTTGTTTGCCATTTCATTTCAACAATCTTCTATAGTGAGAAGTGGCAACTGTTTACTTGTGGTTGAGGTGTTGCTGTGGTTACTGTTGTTGTTGGTGTTGGCAGTGGTGAAGTTTTAATTGCAATGATTAATTGTCAGAAACTTGCATTTGCTTTTTGTTTTTCTGTCTTTCATAGCTCTTGCTGTTCTTGTTGTTGTTACAGTAGGTGTTGGGTGTGGGAGTGTAGTATTTGTGCATTGCATTCGTTTTTTTTGTTGTTTTTTTTTTTTTACCGATTCGATGCTTTAGTTAACGTTATATGGCGATTATGAATGATTATTAATAATTAATTATTATTTTGTAGTTATTTTTGGTTCGTTTGGTTAGCTATGTAGTTGATTAGCGGGGCAAAGTGGTAGAATGCAAATTATTTGAGAAAAAAATAAAAAATAAAAATGAAAAAATTGCTATCTAAACTACCGCTCAACCATTAAAGTACAAATAAATAAACATATAGTATATAAATATTTCTGATTAAATGATGAATGAGCAAAGTAAGGAAAATAAAATATTTTTTTTTAGTCCTTGCGCACCGCGCCAGCGCATTTGTGCATTAAAGTGACGAATTTTTGAAGTAAAATTTTTTTTCGATAAAACTAATAAAAAGTTCGAACAAAATCCAATTATTTTTTTTTTATTCAGAATGTGATAAAAAAATGCGAACACTGCAAAATTTAAAATTTTTGTTTGTTAAATTTTTTAATTTTTTCCATTTGTCTATACATATATCAATAGCGTTTACCCTGTTAGCTGTATTTTTTAATTTGGCATAAAATGAGTTTTTGTGTTGCAACTAACAAATAAATACTATTTATGATGAAACAATGCTCTTTGGAGAGAGAAATTTATACTTCTTTTCTTGTGGGTGGATAGGAAACGTTAAGGAGTGTTGAATTTTTTGTTTCTTGACAGCATTTATGCAATTATCTTTTTCACTTACCGCATTCAACAGGCCAATTGTGGTGGGCGGCACCACATGCAGCGGCGTGTAAATATCTTCGTTCTCCTGTCGCACGAATAGCATAACGCGTTCGCTGGTGGGCGGTGTCATGCGTCCGCGTTTCAGTGGTGGCACAAAATCGCCCATGGCACTGGGTACCAGACCTTGATCCAGCAGGTGATCCTTCTTGTCGCTGTAGAGGCGGGAAACGAAAGGGAAGGTGAAAGATAAAATTATTAAAAGGAGAAAAGCATAAGAGATAGCTATAACTAAACATTAAATAATAATGGAAACAAATAAAAAAAAGTTTCAAAAATTTTTGAAATCTCGAAACTTGAACCGAACTGCCAAAAATTCCGTCAAAAATACTTGAAGTTTCTTGGATTTCCATGTCAAATCAGTCGCCTGTATATATGTATATTCTATCAAAATATTGTAGGATCTTTTTTCTATACAGCTTACAAGCTATTTAACTGAATAAAGCGCTGAAAGACTAAACATTTTAGTGTAGAGTTCTAGCTTAACAGGCTACTGTCATAAGTTCTTCGCCTAAAAGTATGCATCAAAAAATATCTGAACGCACATGAAAATGGCATATAAATATTAGATATGTGCGTGTTAGGCCCTGTCTCCACAGGAAAACACTGATGTCGTGATAACCATGTCACAAAATATATTTCCAATGGAGACCGCCTATTTCTTATGTGCTGCAATATATGTCAGCACTTATTGCTTGACATCTATTGCAGGCAATTCGATAGTTTGACAGCCATATTTTCATTTGAAAGAAAGCGTGCTGGTGGTAACATCGATGAAATTTTGATATTAAATCAAAATAAAAATCTGTTCCGTATTGGATAATTTATGATTACGTTTTAGGAAATTATTTAGCTAGTTTTTTAAGGATTTAAATGTTTTTAAACACCGAAATTGAGAGAATGTTGTCTGGTGGCGTCATGCGGCAAATGCTTATTTCAAGACATCAAAGTGCCCACACACAAAAACTTGCAATCACATTGCTCGTCAAAATGACAGTTGGTAGGCCATCGCTGTTCGCCTGTGGAGTTCTGCGGTTAATAAAATCAAGTTTTTACTGCAAATTTTTTGGCATCTCAGCAATGATAACAGCAATTTCGGCGAGTATAGCCTTTGCAAGAGCCATAGCACAGTTGATCTACTTTTTGTCAATTAAGTTGTACAATTTTTGCATATTCTTAGGCGCAAACGCGTTTAGAAATTTGTATCATTATCAAGTTTCATAAAGTATTTTGCTTATTTAAAGTATAATCTAATGTTACAAATGTATGTATGTATGTATATATGCAGTGCTCCCTCTTTCTTTCTTTCTTCCTTTTATACGCTCTCGCTTCGTTTTGTCGCCATTTAAAACGCAACGATTTTTACATATACTCACGTCTGCACGTCGGGCGGAAAATGATTGTGGAATTTGAGTGTTGGCGCCGCCACTTTTTGGCCATGCAGCAAGAATGGTGATGTGCCTTTGAGATCTGGTGCGCCGGTCAATGAATCAGTCTCATGGCCATAGAAGCTCTGCTGAGGAAGAGAGAAAACAAGTTTAATATTAGTAACGAAAATTAAGATAATTTATTTTTTTTTGATAAAATTGAGGGGCACAAAAAAATTAAAAAAATCTAATGCTATAATTTTTGACTAATTTTGGCTTAACTTCAAATCGACATTTTTTAACCCGTTCACATATATTTACTCCTAACTTTTTGTTGTTTACTTTTACGTTTCAATAGCCGTTGTTTAGCTTTTTTGTGTCCATATATTATATCCAACCTTTCTTAAGTGACTCTAAATTGATTCACTTAAAAAAAAAACTTTGTGAAGTTTTCAATACATCGTTATATTTTTTAATATCGTCGTCGTAAACTTTTCTATGTTATTATAATTTCGATACCCTTTTTCCAAACAATTTTCTCCAGCGTTTACTCTGCATTATTCTGTAATTTTACAGCTGCAAAATACAATATGTAGATATTTTTCGATATACATAAGTAGTTATCGATAACTCTACGATATAATTTTCGATAACTTTTTTGTAAACTCGTATTCGCTTCCCACAATTTTTCTGTAGCTTCTATTCTGCATATAGTCTTTTTACAGTTATCGATAATTTTTCGATGAAATTACCTTTTACATATTGGTATATTCTTCTTTGTAGTTATCGAAAACTGAATAATCGTTTTCCAAAAATTGTCTGTAGCTTTTATGTACTCAGCATCATACCGTAATTTGGCAGCTGTGGAATGAAATATATCCATATATCTTTTAATATAGTTATCGATAACTTTTCGTTATAATTTTCGATAATACTTTTGTCAACTCGTAATCTCTTTCCTAAAGTGTTTCTGTAGCTTTTATTCTGCATCTATTTTTTATTGTAGCTCTCGATAACTATTCAATTTAATTACCTACTACTCTCTGCTATATTGGCAATCGTTTTCCTAACAAATTTCTGTAGCTTTTAATTGGCAATATGCTGTATATTTGCTGCTTTTAAAAGCACTTCTACAAACGAAGTCAATTTACTATTCACGATTCACTCACCTTTTCCATATCATCGGCGGGTGAAAAAAGTACCGGTGGCTTTTGTAAATCCTGCATTGTATAAAACTCCGAACGATCGGTAACCGGATGATATAATTCATCGAGCTTCTTGCGACCTGTAGCGGTCATTTTACGTTTAGCAGCGCGTCTCTCCTCGTCGCGTGTCTTACGCTCAGCACCCTGTAAGCAAGAGAGTAAAGTGGGAAAAATTAATGAGACTTCATTACAAGAATGAAACCGCTATGCCAAGCATTTATGTAAGAAAGATATAAAATTAAGCTATGATTCATTTGACTTCGCCTTTTTTGTTTTGTTCGCTGCAATACAATACCCAGCAAATGCACGAGTATGTATGTACACAACATAGCCCCACAAAGGCCAACGAGGTCGCCATTTTTTATACCAATTAAGTGACAATGTGTCCCCGCACGCAATTAGAGCCAATACAGATTTTTATATTTTTTTTTTTAAATAAGAATTGCTATTCATTTAATGAAAATTGTAAAAGAAACAGCAATAAAATCAATAATAAACACCTTAAAGTTGCTGAAAAAGACAAAAAAAAAAAGTGATTGTTTGACCTTCAAAGTGTCAGCGCGCAGTCACGTTCGTTGCTTAAGTCTTTTGTTTGGTGTGAGTTCATTGGTTCGGTGTTTGGCTTATTGGACGAAATGAGCTGCTGCTGGTTAATAGCTTCAATGCTTAATACTTGCTTTAGCGGTTGTTGTTTGTATGTATTTTGGTATCACTGTCAGCGAGTTATGCATGTGTGATTGAATTATTATCGAGCACATATTTCATGACGAGTGCTTAAGTAAATATGTAGTGTGTACTTGGAGATAATTTTTTTTAAATTTTTGTGCTCTCACAGCAGTTCGCTTGGCTTGGTAATGAATTATTATACAAATTGTTATAAAGTGTGCAGGCGCAAAAAATTAAGCAAAAAAAGAGTAAGTAGAAAAAAAAAACAGCAGGCAAGAAAGAAATTAAAAGTTATTGTGAACAACAACAGCAGCAGCCGATTGAACAATGAAAATAAATAACAAAAAGCTGCGCAGCACAAAAAAAACAAAAACAAAGATGTGTGGGTTGGCTGCGTAAAAACTTGTGCCTAAAGCTATAAATTGAAATAGACTAAATTACACAAACAGCAGCAGAGCGGCGGAGACTGCGTTCTTGGGTGGGCTGCTGGCAATAAAGTAGCGCTCTGTGACAGTGATATAGCAGAAAGAGCTCTATAAACCCAGCGCTTTTATATGTATGTATGTACGTATATGTGAAATATAAAAAACTGCGGCGTTGACAATGCTTTGGCTTGATTTATGCGTTGCTATATGCGGCAAATAAATCCAAAGTCAAGCTCAATTGTATAGCGGCCAACTTCAGTAGCCAACTAAAGCAACCTTGATGCAGTTCAATATGATCTATAGAGCCATTTAATCGTCGAGTGTTGACGGCAGAGTATACCAGACATTCGCTTTGCCCACATATGTATGTATGTATATGCATGTGTATTTAAGTTAGGTATTAGAGCTGACACAAACGTTTAATAAATGACCCGTTGATGAACTTTGTCAGCCAAATGCAATACTTCAACCTAATGAAGCCATCACTCGGTGTTTATGTACATATGTAGGTATGGGTAAGCTACCTCAACTCTTGGTTACGCATATTTGTGCATAGCTGCATGTTGGTAGAAGTGATGAATTGCTGGCGGCATTTTTTTTATTATTATTTTTGTTTTTGTTGTACTAACAAACAACTCGCAATTGGCCCCTAGCCACTGTGTCGCAATAAATGCACAATTTCATGCTGCCACAAATTGAATGAAAAATCTGCAGCAATGCAACAGAAAAAAAGACGAAAATGAAAAGGAAGTATTCGATAACATGTATGTTTGTGTGGGTATACATATGCAACTAAGTAGTAGTTTGTTGAAGGTACAAAACGATAATAGCTTGATTGGCTACAGCAGCCAATTATGCAAATGCCTGAATGGAGACATTTATTGTGGGACCAAGTTGGAGAATGTCGTTGAATATTTTAGAAAAATTTAATAGAAAAAGCAGCAGCACTAACAATTACCACGCTTAATTTTTAATGAAGGCCAAGAATATTTTTAGATTGCATAGAGTGTAGAAATACATATTTATATATGTAATTATTTTGAATTAAGAGTTAATAATACGTACGAAATAGATTTAGAAGACTTGGATCTCTAGCGATGGCGGCAGAGAGGGATAACCATTGACCCCGAAGCGCGCATCGGGTCTCACCTGAAATTTAAGTCTATAGTCTTAAAAAATCGGGCCACAGACAACGCAGAGCGGCAGGTGGACGAGTGGCCAGGCCTACGTAACTTTAAGGCATTCTAATATATAGATCTCCCCCTTCCCCTGGTAACGTGGCATGACCAATGGCGGGGTTGAATGCAATCTAGGCGGTAATCAGGCTGTGGAGAGCCATACTTTTAGCAGCTTTTACAGCAGACACACTGGCGCCTCAATCAAAACGTGAGCCTTAAGAACTCTTCTTCTTCTTCTTGTCTCATTGCAGGAGTTCTCATCCAAGACGTTGTTTTACCTTTAAAACCTATACAGGCTATTGTCGTAGGGCAGCCCAATGGAGCAGATGGTCCTCCCAGCGGCAGTGGGAGAAGAGGCACAATGAAATTTAAATTAACAAATAAATTAACTCAGCGCAATTTAACAAAAAAATTTTTTGAAATTTAATTCAACTCCAACCTCTCTAATCAAAGCAATTCAACTGAAGTTAATTCAGTTCAACTCATTCCATATGCTATTCTAAAGGAATAAGAATCATATCCAAGAGAACTATGTATGCATTAGGGTGGTCCAAAACAAGTAAAGTCGGATTTTAATGCACTCACCTTCTAGGATTGCTCTATATCGAAAAAAATATATCCCTGTTTTTAACCGACTTCACAAAAAGGAGAAGGTTATCACTTTGTCGGGATATTTTTTTATGTGTTTTATCGCATAACTTTAGACCACGTTGACCGATGTCTTTAATTATTTTTTTTTTAAGGAAAGAGGTTACCTCACAGTTGTTGCCATTTTAATTTGGTTTAAATCCAATGATTGGATCATGAAGAAATTAACGATAATCTTAAATTTGTATATGAGAACTGGAGTCGGTTTTTTGTTGCTTAAAAATTACTTGTTTTATTTTGAAATCAAAAAATAATTAGAGGTCTCTCGAAGCGCTCAAAATATTCCATGTATTTTACATGGGAACAAACAACTTTTCGTTGAAAGATGTATCGAATTCTTAAAAATCTATATTTTTCGTTCGGAAAACTCTGGTTCTCTTCAAGAGATTTCCAAAAACAATACCCAATTGTTTATGTACCAATTTTTAATACTAAAGATTTTTTATTGGTCCCCCCATTGCAATACCTGGCATTTTCTGGGGGTTTTGGCGGACCTATAAGATATATGTAGTTACTATGAAAAAATTTATAAATAAATAAAGAGGTATTATTATTTGGAATCTCCTGAAGAGAAACAGTGTTTTCCGATCGAATTACATTACTTTTCCAGAATTCTATATCATTTCTACGAAAGGTGTTCCCCACAATACATTTTTTATCTAAAAAAGGCATATTTTTCGGTATAGAACAATCCTAGGGGGTGAGAACACAAAAATTCCGACTTTTCTTTCTTGGACTACCCTTTTGGATTAACTTTTGGACCACCCTAGTATGCATTCTTGGTAGCAAAAACAACTGCAAAAAACTTAATTTCTTATAAAACGTAACTTACTTTAAAGCTGATTTAAAGAATATTTCAAAAGTTAAAGTAAATTTTTCAACAAAAAAGAGGCAAATTATTAAAGAAAATGCCATTGACTGCTTGGTCAATGCCAATAAACTTAAATTATCTATAAATGGATAGTTATTTATCTAATCCCCAAGCCCACACAAACCACTGTGCTATACTTTATCAATTTCATGAAGTAATGCCTCCACACATATTGTCTAGAGAAATACGCAGGCGTACCTGATGAATAACCGACGGTTCAATAAATGGACAGACATACCAAAGCGAACAATGAACCAACTTAGGCGACGTGCGACGATAGAACGGAAATAAGAGCAAAATTTAAAGCAAAAGCTGGAATAGAGCTATCTATATACGTACATATGTCCATAAGTATGTAGCTAGAGACATGGCTAGAGACAGGCATCTAAAGCATCATTTGGCTAGTGATGCAAAAGCAGCAGCGATATTGACATCGATCGTTAGAGCGCAAGTGAAGCAGCGCTTGCAATTATGTTGGCGGCAAAGTGTAGCAAATTAAAAACGAAACAAATAGAATGGAGGCAATGAAGAAACAAAAAAAAAAACAAAAAAAAGAAGTCGAATAATCAAAAGCAGAACAAAGGCAAAAGAAGGAAGTTACGTTAGGGAAAACAGCAGCAGTCGATGGAAGAAGACGAAGGAGATCGAGCAACTAAAGTGGACATGTAACAGTTTAATCGCTGTACAACTGCTGCATGCCGCATGCCGTTTGTTGCATGCCTCACTTAGTAGCTGACTTAATTTGCCAAGCGCGCTGTTTGTTTGTTTGTTTGTACTACTTACTTCATCAGTTGCGGCTGCCAATGTTAACTAAGTATATGGTTTTTGTTGTAGCTAATGTTTGTTTTGTAAACGCATACATATGTACATACTAAACATACATATCTAAAGAAGTAGAAATGCCAGTAGTGGAATAGTGCTTCTTCGTCTTCACCTATCGCCATTGGTGTATGGCTTTTTTCCATTTGCTTAAGAATTCGCAGCGCTGTGATAAGACAAGCTCATAGAAACAAACAAACAAACACACACACACGCATACATACACTGAATAAATGAGTTAGTCGAGCCGCTGATGCGGATACAACTTGCCAAGTTTGATCGGCTTCTCGCAGTCGCAGGCTGCTTGCTTACATTTGCTCTGCAGCTGTCAATGGTCGTTTGGCGCGATTGGAGGCAGATAGGCGGTTTATAGTTATAAGATCGTATAATTTATAGATGCAGTAAGCACAAATACATATGTACATATGTATGTATGCATCCTCACATACATACATATACACCGACACATATGCACATGAATGCCTTACTTCATTAAAGCACATTTGACTATCCATACACCGATGCATAGATACATTA